TTTTTTTTTTTTTTTTTTTTTTTTTTTTTTCTCTCTTTCGACACGTATATACGCGCGTTTAATTTAAATTAAAATTATTCCAAAAAAAGAGAGAGAGAGAGAGAGAGAGAGAAAGATTAAAACCTGTCGAAAAACTCGAAACACCGATAATATTTTACTCTACTCGACAATCACTGCTTTAAAATCGTATCGTATACGATTAAACCGATAGAAAGACCCTGAACATTAATTTAATAACACTAAAATTGATGCACGCTCGTAAGAGACGCATCTACTGCCAAGCTTTTTAATAGACAATTTAAATTTACAATACGATGATTTCACAACCGGATGGAATTTTCAATTTTGACCCGATATCGTCGTTTCAATCCCGACTCCGATCCCTCTAAATCCCTTCATCCTTCAAATCTTGCCAACGCCGTCAATCACGAAAATCACGCGCCAACGAGCACGATATTTTCACGGTATTTGGAAAAGTCAACGACTCGATCGGCCACCACGTACCAACCATCTTTGATCAAAGTGTTTACGTTGCGGACCCACCAGAGGGCCTCTAAGTCAACGACTCGACAGGTTTAGAGGTTATTTCGCGCGAGCCTCACCTGGAAGAAAACTCTCTGGGTCCACGCGTATCCTCCACCTTTCTCCCCATTATTTTGGCCAGCTCCTCCTGATAAATCCTCACTACCTGCTCTTGCGGAATGTCATCGTTCTCGTATTTCTTCAGTCTCCTATTTTGACTGTCGAGCCTCTCTTTGTTAAACGGGCTCGGACAACCGATTCTATTAGGACTTTTGCTGTCCGCGTCGTTCGACACCTCGTGCTCACTTCTCATTTGTAAGTGGCCCGATTCCGAGAGAATGTGCGCCAACCTCTCGTCACTCATCTCAGGTGGGCCACCTTCCTGTGGGCCACGCGCGAACGCTGGCATTCCCTGCTCCTTGCCTGAAACATACTCTACGGGTGAGGCACAACTTGTGGTGCGTTCTTACTCGGTTTTTGTCTTAATAGGTATGTATAGAAAATATGCATTAGATTAAATAACGTGTATAAAGGGGAGGGGGGAAGAAGCGGTAATTTTGGCTGTTCCTCCAAATAATTGTGCGCTGTTCATCCAGAGTCAAAACGCGTGTTCTTCTCAGTGTGGTTAGGTTAGAGTATCGTTTCAACGAATATTTCCTCGTTGCATAAGATTTTGATTTTTCGACTCGTTCGAAAAATTATTATAAGTAATAAATAGATGAGGTCTCTGAAGAGGTTAGAATTTTTCTGAATCTCTCTTTCTTTCTTTTTTTTTTTTTCTTTTACTTTATTATTTATTCTGACTCTGGATGTACACACAACGTTATTTTTTTTTCATATCGTTCAAGCGATGGCTACAAGATAGGTGGATAATTTTCCTTTTCTGCCCCTTCGTGGAATGTAACAAGTTTCAAGTTTTCTCTAAATTTTCACGACAAGAGGGGGGGAAGGGGAAGGGGACTTAGGAGAGACATTATCTCGAACGTTCCGAGAGCGCCTTTCAATTTCACCCGTTCAACGGACGAAGCGTTCGGTAAGGAAGCGGCCCCTCGAACCTAATCAGATCCAAAGAGGGAGGGGGGATAGGAGATAGAGGGGTTCTGATTCCACGTTCGATCGAACGTGGGAGAGCAATTAATACAACGCAAAATCAATAACACGAAAGCCGAAGGCAGAGCGTAAACCCGTGACGATAATTAAAATATCCTTTTCCTTCCCTTACACGTAGCCAAGTGTACTTCTCCTACGTGTTTCCTGTCTAATTGACCAATCAGCCGTAAGATTCAGACGAATGAGCCATCGATCATGTCTTTGATTGCTTCGACTGCCTCTGCCTTCCCCTCCCCCTTCCCCCCACTCTGCCAACATTCTCGCCACGGATCGACGCGCTCGCTCCCTCGAAAAATACAATACGGGATAGGTTACTCGTTATCGCGTGTCTCGAGGGAAGGGGAAGGGGGGAGGAGAGTGGAACAACGATTCCTCGATTACCACGTGAGAGGATGGAAGATTTTTTTTCTTTTTAATTTATTTTCAGAAGATTAAAGGGAGAG